TTGACAGTGAGGTTAATACTGCCGGTTTTATTATGAAGACCTCGAGACCGGAAATACTGTTTTCACCACGTGAGGGTTGACGCTAACTTTACATGGCCGCTACCTTCAATAGAAATGAATAGGGGGAAAGACGTAGTATATCAACCCACCCAGCTAGCGGGAACGTTCTCACAATTTTGGCTAACATTACCTATTGGTTATAATAAGATTTTAAAGAAACGTTTTAATCTGATGTTCAAAGAACCTTTTTAGGATGTTTATTTTTTCAAATAATGTTCCTATAAGGTTTAAGGTTAACTAAGACATAACATTTTAACTGCAACATTCAGAGGATGTTTTGAGGATGTTATTGAGGCCTGAGATGACAGAATGTCTTTTTATAAAACGTCCCTTTAATGTGGTATGTTAACAAAGGTGGAACGTTTTAAGTGCAACATTCTAAGGACGTGTTTTGGACATTGTTAGGTAACACATTAAAGATGTTCTTTATAAAACGTTCCCTCAATGTTATATAATAACAAATTAAGAACATTTTCAAAGCAACATTCTGAAAAAATTGTCAGGATGTTATTGAGGCCTGAGATGACATAAAAGGGTTTTATAAAATGTTCCTTTAATGTCACATGATAACAAATGAAGAACATTCTCCAAGCAACATTCTGCAAATGTTTTCAGGATGTTATTGAGGCCTGAGATGACAGAAAGGGTTTTCTAAAATGTTCCTTTAATGTGATAAGTCAGCAAAGGTGGAACGTTTTGACTGCAACATTCTAAGGATGTTTTTTGGACGTTGTTAGGTAACACATTAAAGATGTTCTTTATAAAACGTTCCCTCAATGTTACATGATAACAAATGAAGAACATTTTCAAAGCAACATTCTGAAAAAATTTTCAGGATGTTATTGAGGCCTGAGATGACAGAAAGGGTTTTATAAAATGTTCCTTTAATTTAATAAGTCAGCAAAGGTGGAATGTTTTACCTCCAACATTCTAAGGATGTGTTTTGGACGTTGTTGGGGTAACACATTAAAAATGTTCTTTTATAGAACTTTCCCTCAATGTTACATGATAACAAATGAAGAACATTCTCCAAGCAACATTCTGAAAATGTTTTCAGGAGGTTTATTCTTTTTTATAAATGTTCATGTGACAACATCCATACATTCATCTTGCTGCTACTTAGACATTATGTATCTGTTTATCTAATATATCATATTCGTTTAACTTCCGTATAGACTGGCACTATTTCACTATTTCACTTATTTCACTATTTCACTTTTTTAAACTATTTATTTTTGTATTTACTATTTACTTGCACTATGTTTTTCTGTTTATCTGTATTATTGTGTTGCATTGTTGGAGGAGCCTGTGACCTAAAATGTTCATTGTCATACTACACTGTATTGTTCGTATGGCAAAAACGAAAACCTTGAACCTTGAACGTGATGCGAAATATTAACACTACAACAAATAGGGCCCACTGTGCACTAACCCTACCTCTGCACAAAACAACTGATGTTCTCAAACACATTCAGAAGGCAAGGGATTCCCCAAATTGACTCTTGACAAGGCACACCTGTTACTTGAAAACCATTCCAGGTGACGACCTCATGAAGCTGATGAGAGAAGCCAAGAGTGTGCAAAGCTGTCATCAAGGCAAAAGGGGGCTACTCTGAAGAATCTAAAATAAAAATCATATTCTGGATTTTTTTACACTTTTTTTGTTAACTAGATAATTCCTATGTGTTCTTTCATAGTTTTGATGTCTTCAGTATTAATCTACAACGTAGAACAACTTTTCAATAAACACAAACCATTGAATGAGAAGGTGTGTCCAAACCTTTGACTGGTAGTGTGTATATATACATATAAACTTTAGTGAAATTAAGATGGAAAATGTCGGATTTTTGGTCAGTTTTAATGGGTTTAAGGGCGAAGGGTAGTTGCTGTCATTGGTTCCACTGATGTGTCAATCTCATACACCATATCATAGAGAGAGAGCGCAATTATGTCCCGCCCACACCAGAGGAGAATTCATTTCTACCACATGGACAGGACTACAAAGCAACTTGTGCTACATAAAGGTAAGATAATGATGTAACTCAAATTATTTACAGTAAATTAAACATTCAGAAATGAGGCAAATTGACATTTACCACATCTCATTATTTTAATTCTGCCATTATTTTAAGCACATTTTCTTTGTGAATGCCATACAAACAAAAGATAACGTTTAAAGAGCAACTTGCAGGTTAGAGACCCCAGTGAATAAATGTGTAGGAAAATGATGTAAACACTAGATTTTCAAAAAAATAGACATAAATATACACTACAGTGACATCTGGCGTCGTTTTTGTAGGACATTTTTACTTCCATATTAAAGACCACCCGCGTGTGACGTCACATGAACGTATTAATAAACATGGATCACAAATCACAATGCTAGTTTTGACACAGAAGAGGTTGAAAATGTATATTTGTATGCATATGACGGACCACAACCTTATAATTATGAGCCTGCTAGGCGGCCAATAGACCATGATAATATAGTNTTGATACTGATCCATAACAGAAACTAATGCGCAAGTATCAGCCGTATCTCGCGTTACCTAATGCAACTCCACACTACGGTGCTGTGTACCGGAGGGGAGACGCGAGATACGGCTGATACTTGACGATCTGGCGGAGAAAGGTTGTGGAGCCTCCGTTGATATGCCGTTGTAAATGGCTTGATGGAAAGCAGGTGTGTGGTCGGGGAGGGTGCACAGCTGATTGCAGCAGGTGAGTGGAGGTTGAGCCGGGAGCCAGGAGTGACAGCCACCACGCACACAAACAACACAGACAGGGGGAAACAAACAAACACAAAGGAGACGGCTGGAGCAGTACAGCCACCACAGCGTTACCTAACTCCACACTAGGGGTGCCGTGTACCGGAGGGGAGAGAGAGCAGCGAAGGGGGGAGAGAGAGAGCAGCGAAGGGGGGGAGAGAGATGTAATACGGTTTCTTGATAAAGCTGTGGACACGGAGTATGTGCTGCAGCCGTAACTCGCGTTACAATGCACCCAGGAACGAAATCTAGCTCCGGTCCTTTTCCTGTTAGGGAAACTGTGGACTCGATGTCCTGACAGGCTGGAGTTTGTGCAACCTGCAAGAACTCCAGCTCACCATGATTACTAATGGTGAAATGCAATGTAAAATGACCGAAAAAATACCAGCTCACTAAATCACAACCGCTCAAACCGACTACAAACTACTACCACGGATTGGGCAGAGAACGAGTCTGAGAAAGTTGCTCCCCCATGTGACGTAATATGACGCGTTTGACGTATGACGTTACAAAAAAGCAGTTTTTAGAAGCAGAGCTCAAAACGGCTCCTTTTCCTCTGAATTCCTGCCTTTATGTCTTGTAAAACATATCAAATCCTGCATTAACATTTTTAAGTGTAATTTTCAGGCAAGGTTAAGCATAAATCTATTAAAAAAAAAACCCTGCAAGTTGCTCTTTAAGTAACATTTTGAAATCAGGACTTTAACTGAAATCAGGAATATTTTAAGACCGTAGTATTCATACTTTTACCTCTAAGTACAGGATCTAAGTCCTTCCTCCAACACTGTTAGTTCTTAATAGTTATTTGATAATTAAATGTATTTGTCTTTGTCTATATAAAATGTAGCCTTGTGCTACAGGCTGATATTTGTAGATGATGAACATGATATACCCTAGCAGTATCCTGTATATGATGCTACTTTTAGGCAACAATGGTGTGTGCACAACAGTAAAGGGACCAATAATTGAGGGAAGTCTTCTCCAGTCTCCAATACCCGCTGCCCCTGGTTATGAGTCAGTTTTAATCTGACTAATACATCAAAACACCAACAAAAAAAGGCAATAAAACTATTCAGACTAACCTGACCAGTGTGCTCCGTCTCATCTTTGTTGATAAGGTACATTAAGAAGAACCTGCAAAGAACCCACATGTTAATATTTTCCTCATTGACACATCATGTCACTGAACGCAGAGGAGGTACACTCACATGTAGTTGGCCAGGTTGTGTTCATCCAAAGTGTGGGTCTCAAAGCCATGCGGTGTTGTATCAAAGTAGTCGCTTCCAATGCCACATATGAAACACTTTGTCTGCACAAAAATCCGTCATGAGGGTTAGAGCCACTTGGTGAATACATAGTATACAAGGGTCGAATGAATCAGAATCACAATACCTTTATTAGTCCCACAGAGGGGACATTTACGTTGTTACAGCAGAAAAAGAGCCTAAGACAGCTTAATGTTGATTGAATGAACAATGAATGAAAGGGTCATACCTCCATGTCTTCCTTGACCTGCTCTTGTTGGTCTCTGAGTTCTCCGAAGGCATCAATGATCAAACCTAAAGTAATCATACGGGGAGTCAAGATATGTCAGGTTCCCAACATAACTTTGAATCCACTTCCTATATCCAGTTACAATCAAGTCTGAAAAGGCCCTTTACATTGTCCTCTTTCCTTGCTTTCCTCTTAACCAATCACATGACATTTAAGAGTGTCTTTACCCTGAATAATGGCCAGTAGAATGACAATGACGAAGAAGAAGAAAGTGATATCAAAGACCACGCGATAAAGCTCGTATTCATCTCCAGCAGGATCTTCTATCTCGTCTCCGATGCCTCCGCCAGCACGCACACCCACGTACATGTGGAACAGGTAACACTGCAAAGTTGAGTAAATACACATGGCTTAAGAAGTGGAGTTGTCACAAATGTACCAAAGTGCATTTGTTTGCATCATAAGCGGCTTACGGTCATCATATCATCGCATTTCATATCTGGTTCGCCTTCATCTTCGCTCTTATTGTAGAACTTGCGGAAGAAATTGAAGGCGATCACAGTGTAAAGGTACACCACCACGGCCAGCAAGCCCACTGTCATCATGAGCTAGTGCAGACAAGAAGGGAACAGAGTAAGTACAATAATACTGAATATGAGTCATTTCAAGCTTTGGTCTGCACTTGCCTGTTTGCCGTTGTGTGTGACGGAGGACAGGATGGTGCGCAGAGTCTTCACGCCCATTGCAATATCCAGCAAGTGGCAGGCGTAGAAGAAGTTGTTGTAATGCCCAAGCAGAGACATGATGGTGTACCAACAGAGATACAGGAAGGTCTGTAAAGAGATAACAGGGAAGGTTTTTTCAGTTGTCAAAGGTCAGCTCGCATTTCAATTGTAAGTATACCACCACAGTATATCGTGCAATATACTTGGAGTAAAGATTTACTTACACCGTCTGTGAAAATAACGCCAAATTTCCAGATCTGGTACTTGAAGTCAACGGTGGTCGTCCTACAGAGATACATGATTGGTTGCTTTTTATTTTAAATGATTTGTTTGAAATGTAAGAAAAAAAGTCAAGTTAGTTAAAGGGACCCTAAAAACATAATAGTGCCCCTTTAAAAACGTTCACACAACTGGTGCTGAATAACCCAAGTTTCATTAATCCAGTTGTATGTTTACTTCTTCCGGAACACACACACACACGCACACACACACACAATTTCACAATAACCTTTGAATTAAAACACATCATCGGTAGTTGTATGTTTACTTCTTCCGGAACACACACACACACACACACACGCACACACACACACAATTTCACAATAACCTTTGAATTAAAACACATCATCGGTCTCTGGCCTGTGCAGGCGTGCTGCTTGTTTGTGCAACATGAAGGCGTGTTTGTTATTAGACAAGGAAACTTTGAGAAAAATGCACGTTAACTGAAGTTGAAGACAGCGCTCCCACGCTTTCACCCAAGGTCATTTTTGGATCTTCTCTTAACCTTCGCCTGCCAGCTGCACCTACCAATTATATTCTACACAGATATCTCTTTGTTAGGCTTCACTTTTTTTCATAATGGGCCTCTCCTGCATTTTATTTTCCCAGAAAACAATCAGGAGAGGACCTGTCACACGGAGAGATACCGCGACTTTACAACCAAAACTGCCCCTAGTAGACCCTCCTACACACACCACAACACAGACTATAACACCCCTTGCTGCTAAATACAAACCAACTTTGTGCAATATGTGCAATATGTGCAATATATATATATGCGGTTAATAACTGTGTAATTTATACCTGGCTGCTAAACCCTTGTTACTGTTACAAGGTATGTAACATCTTTAATAACTGTAATATATACCGGGCTGCTAAATCCTAAGAACTGCTACAGGATTTGATTTGTAGATTTGATTTGTTTTTGATCTGTATTTTTTTAAATGATGTAATTTTTTTTTTAGCATATTGTTTTTAATATTATAACTTAGTACTTTTTTAACGCATGTAAGATATGCAACACTAAGCTGTCTGTGGCTCTTTCCTGCTGTAACGCTGCAAATTCCCCCTCTGTGGGACTAATAAAGGTATTCTGATTCTGATTGTTATTTTCTCTGAGCACCCTTTGGGAAGTTCCTTCACTAACGGGACGTCTTCCTTCAAGATTCATAGCACATTTCCTGCTGATCGTTCTACCTTCATTTGTATACTTACTTTCTGATCACCTTCTTTTTTGATTAACAGGAACACACATAGATAAAGCAAGATTGATATTCAAATGTCTAGTTTATGCCTTAAAGGGGCCCTATTGTGCTTTTGAGGGTTTTTTCTTTGTCATATGTTTTTCTGCATGTAAAGGGTCTCAAAGGCTAAAAATGTATTTCTGTTGTAAATGTTTGAACTATACAAAACAATATAGTCGAATATATTCTGGGTAAGACTAAATGAGGAAATGAAAAAGCAGGTAATTATGCAGCCTATGGTTTGAGAAAAAGCAGGAGTGGTGCGGGTGACACTAGCATGTATTGACATATGACTCGTTGAGAAGAAGAAAGTAAACAGCATGCTAAATAAATAAAGGAAAGGAAAATCTTGAAGTAAGGGCCAGCAGGCATTATATTGGGAGGAATTATAAATAGTAGTTACATTATTTTGATGTTGTAAGTAAGTTGTTCTGAAACTCGGTGTATTGTACTCCGTTTGATCTACAGTAAACTTAAACCTAAAGTCGATTTAGTTTTAAGTCAAACCTGTGGAATATTTGGGAAGTATATCGAAAGGCTTCTGGTCAAGTTGAAGATGAATTCAAACAACACGTTCCTTGATGTGATGAATATGGCAGACAAAGTGTTATAAAAAGAGGTCCTGAATTATTGAAACTATTTACCATGCAAACACAGAGCTGTCGGGTTCCTCCTGTTTCTTCTCATGTTGTTGACTCACATCCAGGGAGGCTAAATCGACACCCAAGAGCTCAGCTATTCTTTCTCTGCCATAAATGTCTCCGTACTTATCCAGAACCTGGACACAGACATTAGATTGCACATCATGTAACAGTTGTTCAACACAGCCATTTAAAAACCACGGAAATCAAACACAACTCACCTTTCTTTTGACAAATTTATCCCAGTAGTTGTTTGGGAAAGAGCTGTGAAAAAAGGGACATTCATTTTTGTTGTTATTTTAAAAAGATGAATTGTGTGTGTACTAAATCTTGACAGTTTTTAGAGACAAATTATTTATATTGATCTACATACGGTGTGTTCAAGACCAGTCTGTCCCATTGGCCCTTAATGTCATCGTCCTCAGGCTGCTCGGTGATGAAGAGGCCGTCAAACTCCAGTTTTCTAGCAAGTTCTTTCTCCCTTTTAAATATCACCAGTGGAATCTGGCAAAACAATCACAGAATGCACGTTTTTGGAGTCAAAATTGTGCTCAAAAGTCACATTTTACACACCGAATTAACTGTTTTTGTTTACTGTGCGCCAATCATACCTTGAGGCAATTGTAGCCAATGATACAGATGAATGAGATGACTGTGTGCAGGGCAGCAATAAAGGTCAAAGTAGGCTGCATATAGCCAGTACTCTCCTCTAAATAGAAATATATTGGTACATCTTCCTCATCCTCTTCTCCCTCATTCATTCCCGATCCCTCAGCCTCTTCCCCTGAACCTTCAAAGAACCCAGAGCCCTCGAAGAACCCGCTTCCCTCCGACGCTCCAGATCCCTCCATCTCCTCACCGTCACGCGGGCTGTCAGACACCTGAAGAGAGTATTATTTAGTAATCAAGTCCAACATAATCATTTAAAGACAATATTATCTTTTTACCTTGTAGAACAGCAGAATGAAGTTCAGGGCGAATGCGAGGAACAGAGCCAAAAACCGCAGGTTGTAGAAGTTTCTGGAGAGGTAGTTCTACAAGAGAGAGATAATCAAATTATTTCAGCTGATTAGTGAGAAGGTAATTTCAGAGATTTTGAAATTATGCCAGCAAATAATTCTGGGAAAATACTAGCAAATGTGTCACCATAAATTTAATTCTTTGGTTTTCAAGCTCAGTCCAGATTTGAAAGCCTCCTTCCCTCTTCGGCCTCTTTTCTTTTTTCTTGGCAGATTTCTTTGGTGCTTCTGGCCGTGCTTCCTCCTTACTATGGGATTCTCTCTCTGCTTTCTCTGCTGCTTCAGCACTGACAACCAAAACACAGTGGAGTTAGTTTTATTTCTGGTTTTCGTCAACATACAAATCAAGGCTGTCACTGTGGCAGATGTGCGACTCTGAATTTGCCATGAGTCTCAACGACCCCCACAAAGAAGCCCCTATTTTCCTTAATTTAACAAGTGTAATGAAAATAAACTTTACATGCCAAATACATTTTATATCCTCGCAAAAAGTCTAGCCTGTTATCTCGAACTATTGAAGTGAGATTATATCTTAAGAGCAAACTAAAGTAAATGATAAAAACAACTCAAAACTCTTACTCAGCCTTTTCGGGTTCTGCTACAGGAACCGGTTCAGGGGGTTTCTGGCTGGCTTCAGCCTCTTGTGGTGCCTGTAAAAAACAAAACATTACATAGCCACTAACAATTTAGCCTTTCTATTTCACATAGAGTTATCTTTTAAACTTGACTTGATCCTTTTTTTGTGAACATCCATAACATTAATCTGGCTGCAACTTACACATTATTTATCTAATATTTTTTATTCCAATCACTTGTATATAGACTCTTATTGCACTATTTTTTATTTGTTTGTATTACTTGCACTACTTTTTCTGTTTTTTTCATTGTTATTGTGTTGAACTGTTGGTGGAGCCTGTGACTTAAGATTTTCATCGACATAACTACACTGTAGCTATGTACGTATGACAAATAAAAGCCTTGAACCTTGTGTCTTAATCTATACAGTCTATGGTCTTAATGTTAGGAAGATGTGTGTCAATAAAAAGAGTAGAATACACTTGAAGCTGGATTGATGACTACCCAGTGAATGAGTTAATATTTACATATTTGTATTCAACTTAGTTGTCTTCTAAATCTTACCACTTTTCTCTTTGTTATGGGAGTTCCTTCAGGGGTTGGAGGTTCAACAGGTGATTCTACCCCCATGTCTCCAAGTCCACCTGGAGCATCCATACCTGGTATCCTCCCACCCTCTTTGTCCTGGGTATCCTCCTCTTCCTCCTCTCCACTCCCCGCGTCCCCAGTGTCCGTAACCCCCCCAGTGTCTTGTTCCTCCCCTGTCCTCAGCTCCCCTGGTCCGTCTCCATGCACATCGTCCTGCGTGGGATCTGGCATGCTCGCCAGAATCTCCGTCACAGTGATATTTTTAGCTCCCTCGACTAAGCCACCTCCAAACAGTGTTTGCCAGATGATCATAAAGAAGCCTTTGCACACACTGTAAATGAAGTGTAGTATACTCATGAGGATGGTCCAGAAAAAGGTGGACAGAGCAACCACAATCTCCTTGAAGGACATCTTTCTCACTCTGCGATATTGTCTGCGAAGGTTACGGAAGGTGAAGATGCTGAAGAAGCTTAGCATGCTGTTTATAAAATCTGCAAAGGCAGAGCTCGACTCAGGCTGCCCTTCATCGCCGTTACTCTCCTCATCCCCGCCTCCATTTTCTCCCCCTCCTGGTCCTCCCTCAACTGGGACTTCATCCATTTCGTCATCTTCTTCCCCCTTTCCCTCCTCTTCCTGCTCTGAAATCTGTGAAGCTATATTCATCTCAAAGATGGTGTCCTCGCAGAAGTTGACAAACATTTCCATCTTCTCTGATTCGCCGCCCTCATTGACGACGTTAAAGATGAACTGTTGCTTGGACTCTCGGACCTGGGGCATCTCCCACTGTTTGCGGTTGACTTCAGTAATTTCAAAGTATATGCGCTCAATCTTTCTGCTGGCGCCCATTATTTCAATGCGGCCCAAGAAGGGGCGGAAGTAGTTCAGCACACTTTCCGCTTGTTCTAGGAAGTTCTGCAGCCTGACGTCATGGGGGACGTGCTCAGACAGGTTTGTGAGGAGCACCGCGATGTTGAATCCGATGTCCTTGGCAGGCTCCTGAAAGCGATTAGCAAACTCCTCATAGTGGATCATGTCATTTTCATCTGCTTCGGAGCAGGACAAAAGAAACTGGATCTCAGAAGAAGAGTACTGTTTCTGACTGTCCATGGCCTTGTGGAAGTCCTTCTTGGAAATCAGCCCTCGAGGGTCTGTGACATAATCCTTGAAAGCATCCGAAGCCACTATGTCTTTCAGTTTGAGGAACATGTCAAAGAACTTCAGGATCATCTCCACGTTGCTTGAGGACTCTACCAACATGTCTACCATCTGGCGGGCAATTGTACCATTCACCACGTTTCCTGAATAACACAGAGTGATAGTTCAAATATTGATTTGCAAAGGAAAAGACAAGGAGAGATAAAAACTGCTAAACATGAGTAAAAAAAACTATTTTACCCTCCAACAGTGAAAGCAACATAACCACCATGTCTTTCTGGAGGTCAAGAAGCTCCTTCAGCAGACCAATCTGGCTTGAGTCCTGTGACCATAAAGAAATGCAAAAGGTCTTACAGTAGTGACAGCAAACATTATATAATTTCAATGTACATGGACTTATAGAAATGTAATAGTCATTGGTGGGGAGAAAACATTCAAAAGGTTCAGCAGCAGTCACACAGAATGTTTTGATCATATACTGTAGTAACTCAAATTCATGTGATGTTGTGAGATGTACATTCATGGTACTGTGTTTTGCTTAAAGTCACATTCACAACAAATAAGGTGCTGTAAAAAGTAGTTCATCCACTAAACCCTCACGCTGGGATAAAAAGTGTCAATGAATGTGCTTTAGGAAAACTTAAATGTCAGAAGGAAATATTCACGACGGTAGATTTATTAGCTAAATCTTTTGTGACACAGACAGAACATCATGGCATGTAAGAACCTTTCAGGAAAGTACGGTGGCCACCAGGTGCAAACGCGCTACAATGGCCCAAAACAATTCCAATATATGAGCAACGCACTGCAGCTGAAGAAACGATGCAAATATAAGAACACAAATGTGCGAAATCACATGCTAATGAAGCGGGGACACTATAAAGTGAAACAAACAGCTGGGACCGGAGCCCTTGTTGACTGTTTTTGTATATTTCTATGTCATCTCTGGAAGTGCAGCACGTTTTCTCCTAATGGAAGTTTTCAAGGCCGTTGTCGTGCATTTGCACCTGCTGGCTACCGTAGATAAGGTTACATCTGCAAAAATGTTGTCTAAAAATGTCTGCAGGTTTGTTTTGTAAATAAACATTATACCACCTGTTAATTCATTGTTTCTTTATCCAGAGAAATGCAAACTCATTGGATACAGTCTCAGATATAATGTCCAATAGTATTCTCAACCTAAATATGCCATGGATTGCTATGAACCAAAACACACTTTCAGTTTAAATCCATGACATCCATTTATATATACATATATATAAATATATATATATATATGTTTAAATATGTATATGCAGTATAATATACTGTATATACTAATGTTATGTTATGGTTAAAATAGTGTCAAACCAAAGCCACAAGAAGCCACAAATCAACACAAGGCAAATAAAAAGCATATCGCTTCAGGTTAATCATTAGTAAAAGGAAACGGCAGCAGTACAGTAAACTGTGTTAAATGTGTGCACACAAAGTGGATTTCACATCAAAATGTATATTTCAACACCAAATAATCCCATATTAAAGTGTATACTCCAACAGTGGAGGTTAAAAGTCAGTCCCTCTCACAGGAAGTTTGTAATCACCTGCTTTTTTCTAAAGATATTTGATTCAGCAAAAGTAATGTGTGTTGTTACTTACAATAATGATGGTTTTAAACTTCTCTCTGCTGTACATATAATGAATGCTTAACAAGGCAAAACAATGTGTAGTAAGGAAAATATTACTGGGCGGAGAATTTATATTTAGTATGCTCTCCTTGTTGCCTAATGTGGTACAGTATGGATGAGTAGGTGTTCAATATTTTATTTAACTATCTATACGTAGTACCTACAGGGCTCCATGAACACCTTGCTGAACATTATCCCTTACAACCTCCGAAATGTCCAAATTGACCAATAAGAATTGTGTATTAAATTAAGCCGTGCAATAAAATGCTAATAACATTAAAACAAAACAATCAAGAATACATAAGTGTAACTAAAAAACACATTAAATTAAATTAAATCAACAACAAATAAGTACAGTTAAATACAAAAACATTGTTGCATTGATGACATTGATCAATGTCATAATAAAATGCAAAAGTAAAAAATGGTCTGGATTTGATATTTAAAAGCAGGTGGGTACAAAACAACCTCATAAGGGAAACCAACATTGAAAAGATTATAGACTAGTAAACACAATATCACATCAATAATAGATAAATAAAATAGATACATACTTTACCCTGCATTGACCATGTGGAAGACAGTTTAAATAATAGATAAATATTCAGTTGTTAGACAATTAAAACATTTCAAATGCTGTTGTGCACGACACATTTTCTTTAGTTTGACAATTAAACAACATTTGGACACTAAAACATGCATTTATATCATCATACACATTTATATTTTACAACCTGTATTATGATTATTGAACTTTTTTAAACATTTAAAATGTTGCATATTTACTTGTTTATCATAGTATTTAAATATGATGACTGCAAGGTAGAACAGCTGATACTATCAGGTCAAGGAGGACATCGCATGGGAAAGTAATTTTGTGTGAGTCGTGTGTTAGGAGAATGCTGATCTGAAAACTGATGAACAACGGCTTGAATGTACGATTAAAGGGTTATACATGCAGGATATTGTGCTAATATTAAAGGCCTTAACCTCATTCGATGACGGCACTGTCTGAAGTGGAAAAGCCCTGGGATTTCCCTTCAAGTATTTGGACCTTTTATTTGTAGAAATTGAGTAACATTATATAATATGAAATCGGTTTGATTCCTCACTTTTGGTCATGTTGGTTTGTCTAATATTTTAAAGATTAAGTGCATTGTATAATGTAAAAGTAAAAGAGTGGTCTGGAAAAAAATATATAATGTCTAATATATTCAATGCATACTGTATATTTCTCTTCTTTTTTCACTACAGACATTTTGACTTGTCATGGACGGAAAAGCACATTCAAAATGACCATGGACTATACAAGGGTCCCGGTAAGCCATGACAGTTTGACCGAGAGCCAGCATGCAAACACCAGGACCCTGAAACCAAAGCAGCCATCCGTCATTTTAAGATGTACACTTGTGTTGTTCCTGCTGTGACAGATCAAAATGTATTTTGTTAAAAAAAAGTCATCCATTAAAATTAATTTCAATATATATAGGGATACAAAAAAAAAAAAAATCCTTTGAAACCAGCCTATACAGGCACAACAAAATGGTTGAAATACTTCAAGAAATCTAAAGTGGCTTTGCTCTCTCATTGTAATTTTGTATGCAGTGTATTCAGGAACCTATTGAACGAAGGTTTACAAACATTTTACTATACAGTAGGTCCTGTAACCACTTAGTGTTTTTCAAGCATATATAACGAGTCATATGGTTTAAACTGCTATATGCATATGCCTCCAGAGAGACATTGCTGAAGTAATGATGGAGTATTTTAGTAAACTTCACTAGCATGATGCACAATAAGTTGACCCTGTCTTTTAAGACTCATGATAACATCACAGAGCTAGATTTAAAAATGGGCCTCACTGCAACACTTGGAGCTAGTCCTAAGGAGTATAAATCTTTTTCAGTGATTCCTGTCATTTTTACAGAAAACTAAGTGTCATGAGATTAAAGTTGTATTCTGTCAATTTTGATCAAATCCATGTAAATTGGGGCCGGGGAAGGAAGTTTAGCAACTAATTCTCACTTGTAAAGTATAATATATTGAATATATGTGTACCTGTGCCAGCTTCATCATCATGTGGGCAAAGACATGAAGGAACCCGACAATAGCGTCCCACAGCCTGCTGTGGGCGAGCGACTGCTGGTTGCCGGTGCACGGGCCCTGGACAGAGAAACCATGTGTTAGCAGAACATGCATAAAGCAGAGAGCAAATGTCAGATTTCTTTCAGATTTTACCTGAATATATTCAGTCAGGCTGTTGAAAATCTGTTTCGCCACCATAATAGCTTTGGAGAAATTCTTTTTGCCGGGCTCATCAATGATGTCCTTGCCAGAGTAATACCAGTAGAAATCACTGATAGACTCCTGGATTAGAACAAAATTAGAGGTAAATCGTTTATCATACAAATACTTTTAAACATTATTCCTTATAGGGACAAAGGTCTATCAATTTGTTGTATCTATTTAAATATTTACTAAGTACTTACAGTGTCTAGATCAGCCACACATTAATCAACACATACTAGTTTTAGTGACAACCTTTAAAACTTCGGATTTTACTCTTTACTTATTGCACTAACTTGAAGCTAAATGAAAAGTTGCACCTGGAGTCGGAGGAGGTAATCTACGGTACAGATGATGATGTTGATGGTGGTTGTGCTTCCTGTCTGTGTTCGCAGGTAGTTCTGGAAATCTGCAGCAAAGGACACATCATTTTGAAAGGCAGTAAGGCTTGACAATGTTGGCTGTAATGAAATGTTCAACTTGGTTTGAGTTTCATATTCCTCTCATTTGAAACATGACTCATCCTCACCGTTGTTGTGGCCCTCACAAAGCAACTGCAGGAACCGGAAAAGGTCGCAGGTGAACTCATCGTCCGACATCACTTTCTCATCTAAAAGAAAATGAAAAGAAGAAATGGTTAAATGACATCCTAAGATCACATTGAGATAAGACAACATACAAGGGTAACAGGTCTTACTGTTGGTTACTTAAACAGTTTGCCTGAGTAAAAACAGTGTCAGGGTTAGTAAACTGAAGTGATTACTCAACTTACCATCAACTCTCAATGGAGTTTAGTATAGGACACAGCAGTGACCACCTAATACCAAATTGTAATCCCCACCCCCAATAAATCAAAGAATGAGTTGTAATGAGATGTTGTAATAATAACATACAGGAGACATCAGCATCACATGCATACTGTAGAAACAAAGTGTAGTCAAAATAATTAAGACAAAAACGAATGACACACACAATGCATTTAAAGGGATATTAAAGATTGGATGTCTTTATGTGATGTTGTATAAAGTTCTTTGAGTTTAGTGAAGGTTTATTTGAAGGCAGTGTGGTGGTTTTGAAAGAAGTATACATGGATATGACACCTTCAGTTCTCCGTCAGAAGGATTGTCTCAAGGTAAGATGAAAGTGAAAAATGTCTAAATATAGCATACACTTAGGTTGACATTTATTTATAGTAGATCATACAATCTCACGTCAAAACATCTAAACTATCCCTTGAACAACATGTATAAACATACAGACATTAATATTGGTTGCTGTACAGACAGACAGACAGTTAGTTTGTTCATAAAACATTGCAGTGGTCAGGGGTAAACTGGTCTAGTTTACTTGTAGGCAGCAAAATCAACCTGTATATTTATTGTTATACTGCACGTAAATTTTTTTTTAATTGGGTTGATAATGACAAATCTAATCTAAATCAGTATCATCGCTTATATAAAATCACTGTACCATTTATAAATATATCGTGAAAAAGGGCTGCATACTGAACATATCATGGCCTTGAAGGTGAGCGGTATGACCAATAGGACACAGCTGTTTTTATTGGAGTTGAAAAGCCTCATCTTTTGTCAATAGCTTCCAATTTTGTATTTTTTTTTAGCATTTCTTCCCAAAATATTCCATATAATGTGATCATATGAGAGTTCCAACATTCTGTGTAACTCAAAAAATATCCAACCTAAAAGGTAGCGCCCAACCCTTATTGGCCTGTTGCCTTTTTTAAATCCCAGTCCACCACTAATGAACACACACGCACACACACACACACACACACAGACACACAACCATGCAACACACACAGACACACAACCATGCAACACACACCAGCTTAGCTCCAATACAGCAGGGTTAATTGTCAGAGAGGTTAGGGCATTGTCCATCAAAATGTTGAATGGAATCCAGCCCATTATGTCCAGGAATGGGACTGCTGAACCTCAGTCAGTTTATACAGTGTGAGTCTGAGAGTTCAGATAATGACTATTAGTCTTTTTCTATTAGTGGATAAAACCAGATTCAATTATTTGCCTTTCAAAATGGACAAAAAATGTGAGTAAGGGGCATGAGCTTTGAAAAGGAAAGATGGACAGACACATCCAATCCTCACTTGTTGGACTCTCAGCGTTAGAAAAAGGGAGCAGGAGGGACAGAGGAGGGAGAGAAAGCGAAAGAAGAGATGGACAGAAATGATGATTTACCCCGATTTGGGTTCATGTCTGAGGGCCATGAAAGGAGGGACAAGGGAGAGGTGGCAGTGATCGAGGGGAAGGGAGAGAGGATCAGTGTGTTGACAGTAGAGGACTAAGAGATGAGGAGGGGGAGATTAACAATGTTCCATGGCATGTTCATTCAGGGGGAGATTTCAAAACCTCCAGAATTAAAAGCACAAAAGGTCGGAAAAACAATCAACAAGTTATACAACTAGACATAGAACAAGTTCAATCCTTAAATCTCTCTAACCGTTATTTAAGTGTTAATATTTCATGTTAGAGGAAGATGAATTAATACTTTCTCAGAATGTTGATTTATTAATTCATGTCTTGTGTTGATTAATGTATTCTTTTGTTAATGAGGCACATAACGATAACATCACTTGCTTTTGGTTCTTGTTTTCTCTTCAGAAATTGTTCAGCAAAGTGTTTGCAAATTACCGTTTAATGTATAAATGAATTAATAACAATAGAGTCAATTCTGCGTATATGAAACAGGGTTTGCCTTCCGTATTTGAAAAGTTGTGATAAATATAATAATGGTATAATTTAGTTCTTAGATATTTTTAGGTTGTAAAATAGTTTTTATAGACTTTTCAGATCTACTTTGATTGTGTTTACCCTGTTGATGTGGACAGTGTACACATTTGAGTTGTAATTTATACAAAATGTTCCAATTTATTACATGATGGTATTACAGCTAGAGTAGGTAAAGTATTTTAGAAACATTTTATTTGTTCAAATTGATTTTACAACCCAACAGCAATCAATAAAGCATAAGCTCTTACAATAAAAAGCAAAACATCTGGTATCTGTGGCTCTCACAGGACTGAAAAGCCTCTTTATATTATAAGTCATAATAGTTTAGAGCAGCCCAAATGATAAAAAATGAAGCTGACTCGGGCTAGCTTTTTACCCACTGTACATTCAAACAGTATCTGTGGTGTAATGTCTGCTGGATCTAAGTGATGGATGAGTGTTAAAAACGTACTAGAGCCCTCCTCTGAGACCATGCCCAGCCCCTCTGCTTTGTTCTGCCTCTCAAAGGCGTTGAGATCCAGGACGCTGCAAAATTCATAAACATAAAATTAGATCTGCACTCCCAACTCTTCGAATTAATGCACATAACTCTTCCTTGTTGAAAATGGTGTCATTTAAAAAATAAATAAACTGACCTGCATGTCTGCATCAATGCCTGGATACTCAAAAAGAATCCAACATCCTTCTTGTCCCTCAAGTACTCCAGCATTTTCTGAAAAAGAAAAAGATTATTAAAGAACAATTCTAATTTAAAGAAAGACTTAACTGTTTTCATAATACATACCCGTTGAACCTCACAGTTTCCACCATTAAGGATGGAGTTGCCTAACTTAAGGGTGGTAGTCACCATAGGGCCGGTCTCACCTACATGTACAAAACGTAAACTTAGCATAAACGTATTCACAGTGCAGGAAACTTCCAGACAAACAGTGTAAACAAGCCTACCTTTGCAAGCACTGATCATTTGCAGAACCATTTCTGCAGCGCCACGATTGTGAAGTCGTGACTGCTGGTACAGAAGCCTTTGTTTCTCCATTTCCTTTTCCTGTGGTGGATGCAAACACTATGAGCATTTGGTACGGTTTCACTTCACACAGAGAATTTGAATGGATAGAATGGACTCTTCAAGGTCAGATAGTTGATTAAATATGTAATAGTAGTTATAAATACACTAGGTTTGGGTTGCACCAGCTTTTCTTAAACCCATGTCCAGGTTTGGACAGGAAGTCCGTCCTAAGTTCCAAGTACTAGAATCAAACTGGGGATTTAGTCAATGGGGTTGCACCCCTTTTTACTCCACCTAACACTTATACGTATTAGTCTAATTCCGAACATACTAAGAGCTGGTGCGAGAGGCTCAAGGTGTTTAAATATTTATTTAAAAAAGTGTCCATTCTATCAATTCATATTCCCGATTTCAATTCACATTCATTCTCCTCTCTCTCAAGTCCCTAACTTTTCATCTAAATCTTTGTTTTATCAACTTACCGTCTTTGCACTTCAGATACCAGCTATACATAAAGTGATTTTAAAAGAAAAGGCATCTATGAATTCGTAAGTTCTGTCGATTAACTATTAATAAATAAATGTACATCTCATGCTTTTATTTTTGGTTTATCAAAAATATTTGGACAATTATTGCAGTTTCTTTTCTCTTCTATGTGCAACACTATTGTCTTTTTATATTTTTGTTTTACTGTCAGTAATGTTTTACTGTAAAAAAATCTGTCTCTTGCATACATTCTATCACCTCACTTTATTAGTCATGGAGTTGTTACTCTACTTCTTCACGTTTGCTAGCTAGAGCAAGCGTTAGACTACAGGAAACAACCTGATTGGCTTAGCATTTCAGCCATATAGTTTACCAAAGTGTATTAACTTCACTTTGAGCAAGAGCTGTAATCCCTCTGTATCAGAGATATTTCTTTGGCATTTCATAGCAGAGTCTTTCTTAAGGAAATTGTTTAAAATATTAAAATATTAACTTGTTCCTCTGTTTTTTTATTTGAAGTTTGTTTCCTTTGAATTTCCACTTGTTTTTCTTGTTTGAACTGCCTTTGTCTTTTCCCCCAGATAGGCCCCGCTCTAAAGTGTTTTACTCGATCCTCATCAGTCAGCAGTCACCTGTCCTTCAATTTCATCCCCCCTTTCATTGTGTTTCTGTACTCTCATTGTCTTTTGTCAGTTCGTGCTATTTGCTACCTGTAATACTGTTTGGTCTACCATTTCACCAGAGATAAGACAAGGCGAGCACAGAAAATGATGTTGTGTCTCAATTTGGATTTTTCTCTTAGTACCCTGCCAGGCCTACACTGGGAAAACACTTTTTGTGAAATGTGACCTTGTCGTGCTGTCTCAAATCGCACATGGCCGAAGTCCTTCCTCCGACCATGAGTCACGATTGCAGCTGTTAGTTAGCTTCATTCGTAGTAGCAAATCATTACAGACCGCTTAATGTATCAAAAGATTGAATGGTGGCTTCTTTCAGCGCCAGTATTAAGGCGTGTTTATTAAAACAGTGCTGTGTTCACCGGACCAACTGCAACAACGCTGGTCCCATCTGGATACACATAGCACACTGTATTTTGACATACTAGTACATTTAAAACAGCAAATGGTGGTACAGTGGAACGCAAATTGAAACGCAGCATTAATGAAGGAATAAGGGTGATAACGAGAGACGGATGACAGCAGGGCAGAGAAGAATCAAGTGGAATTCATTGGGGCGGGGCAAACCATCACACAGATGTGGAAAAGAAAAAGGCAGGAACTAAAACAAGAAATGATACGTGAGGAGAAGGACTTTCAAAATAAAACAGGAAACAAACTACAAAAATAAACCCCAAAGACGATGACAGCCCTGGCTCTGAATGGCCTTCAATCTTTACATCTGCTTATGCATTCCTCTTTATTTATTGCATTGAGCCGACTGTGTATGAAAGGCCATTTTGAAAAAAGAAAATGGCAATCAAACAAATATCTCTGAATTCAGAGGACAAATGAATATTCCTCTTTTCAGCAACATCACAATCAACTTGTAACATCCCACATTATGAACCTAAACCACCCCCCTCCCAAGTCCACCCCCCACCCAACCACCCACGTATGCCTGTCCGTGCTCTACCCACTATGTGTAATGCAGTTGGACCTCGAAATATAATACCTATTGAGTATCTGATGACATCTGGTGATAAACTATGCACTGTATGATGTATGTGACTTTTAAGACTATGAGTGTGAATATTTACCTTTCAACGTTGCGTGTTCTACACTGGCTTTCACTGTAGTCTGTCAGTATGCTATGTGAGTGGGGGAAGGGAACATTGATCAGTAGCATTCAGTTAGTGAAGACAAGTGTTATGAAGGTGAAAGGGGTTACATGGAGCAATGGGGAAAGAGACAGATAGAAAGACAAAGACAAGACAGCTATATAAACTGGGAGGAATGACATCACTAGTCAGTGAGTTTGCGTTAGATAACATTCAAAATCACTCTCAGTAAAGATTTGAATTTGAAAGGCTTCTAAAAACATCTAATATCATCTCAAGCCTTTTTAGTTTTAGCATGTCTAACTCCCCAGTTTGATATCAGCCCTCACACTCAAGGGTTTTTTAAATATACAAATATTTTTTTAGTGTTTTAAAGAAACAATATGCGTTGACAAAGCATGAAAATAGCTTATGGTCAAACAAACAGAAATCTGTTTTAATATTTCAGCTGCATTAGAGAGGGAAGTCAGCACTGGGTGTCTCAGAAGGTGTCTGCGACTCCTAAACTTGTCACAAGGAATGTAGCAGCTGGCGTTTCCTTCAAAGTTAAAAAGCCCTGCCAGTACACTGAAATTCTTTGAGCTGTAAAGTAAAAAACTCGAGGAAGGGACAGTGGGTTAGGCCATGGGGGAACAGAAACATTTGAGCTTCTTTTTCTTACACATTGCTTCATTTTTCATAACGTTTTCCAAAGTGGTTTACACGTCTATCAAGTTGATAGCTGATTTCGAAGTGAATTATTATTAGAGTGATGATTATTAGTGTGATTATCATTAGTTAATAGTTAACTTTGTTGATGTTAAAACATTAATTTAATTGAATCTTATTAGACCCAATCCAGATTTGAGGCAAACAGGACCAATGGGTCTTCTGAAACTTTTAACCTTAAATGTACACATGTCTAGTGAGTGTTATAATTGTACGGTTTTGTCCCGAAAGTATGATTTAAAGAGATTAGGGTACAAATGGTATTTGATGCAGTAATAAAAAATCTGGATTGGAGCTTCAAGTTTCGAGCTGAATAAAATCACAATGAATGAAGCAGAACTTACTAACAGAAGAGACGACGAGCAGACAGAACAGACAACATAAATAAAAGAGAGAGACAGAGAGAGAGAGAGAGAGATGTGCTTGTGGAGTAATGTTCTGATGATGAGGTCACTCAATGCGTTGAGAGCTACCGCTCCTCTGTGTTCCTGGTCCCTTGCCCCCCTCGCCGCCCATTACCAGTTCTGTTTGTCGCACCTCAAATGGCAGCTCATCCTCCGCATTTTCCACCACTTCCTCTCCTCCTTCTTCTTCCTCACCAATATGGCAACTCTACATAGATGGAGACAAGAAAAACGATCTTAGAGCATAGTCAAATGGAGCTGCAACCAACAATGACTTTCATTATTGATTAATCTGTCAATTATTATTTAGAATTCAGTCCATAAAATATCAGAAATAGAAAAAAAATGTCATTCTAGTTTCTCAAAGATCAAGGGAAGTATTTGTAAATGAAGTTAATGTCTTGTTTTGTTAGAGAACAAAGAAAAAGGAAATCTCTTGAGAGGCTGAAAACAGCATTTTTTTGCTATTTGTTCATGAATAATTACTCTTATGGTTAATCGATTATCAAAATAGTCTGACTTTGATTCACTCTTGAACAGCTAAGTGATAAGTCAACTAGTTTTAGTTCTATGGTCAAAACCCTTTGTCACTCACCTTCGCCATAATATCTGCATATGCCATATACAGATGATCTGTATCAAGTTTACTGAAGTGAAGACAAGAGAAGAGAGTTGGTCAACAACCTACCACCCTGTGTTTAAACCACATCCCAGCATTTCAGTTAAGTAAAAGCCATGATCTATCCAACCTCTTTTCTGTAAGAGCAGTACGACTGAAATGCAGAATAAGCTGGTGGAGGGGATCTGGCTTCGTTTCTCTTTCTTCCTCTTCATCTCCTTCTTCTTGCTCCATCGCTTTCTGGGATGCACAAGGAGAGCAAGTAATGTCAGAGAAAAAAAAAACACTATTCAAGATCAAACAGATGTTAGATAACACTCACAGATAAGTCATCTATCATCCTGTCTTCAAACGAGTAACCCTCCGAGTGAAGCCAGTTGCGTTTGTATCCCTCCAGGAACATGTTTGAAGCTCTGTGCCTGCAATGCAAAGAAACAAAAAACCATAAACAACTTGTATTTGCACTTTTAAACATCTGAAACACTTATTTTTTCAACACCCCACTTGTGACCTTGATATGCTTCACTAACCTGGGAATGTTGTATAGAGGTGTCATCCTAAAGCAAGCGACCACCGCCCTGCGCCTCTGCTTAGACAACAGTTTGTGCCACACCATCTTCTTGGATTTAAACGGGTGCTCCGTCTGTCATAGAGGAGGGAGTCATTGGCAGAGTGGCCAAACAATTCCTATGGTTACTTTTAATGTACTGCAGGAAAAGTATTAGGTCATTTTTTGACTGATTTCCCCCTCAACACCAATTACTACAGTTTTCCATCCATCCATCCAATTACTACAGTTTTCATATTTCATCATTTAAGATATGATTCCAGTGAAAAGTTATCATAATCAGAAATACTTAAATCAAATAAACTAAAAAGAATGAAATAATAATAATAATACATGGGATTTTTATAGCACTTTTCCTAATGCTCAAAAACGCTTTTTACGTAAAATCTGAACAGAAACAGTACAAAGAAAACAAAAAACATAAACAATAGAAATAAATACGAAGTCAAGTGCCATCATATTGACAACAACCCTTTGCCATGTCTGACACTCCTAAGGGATGAGTTGAACAGCCTGCCATTCATTTATTGAAAAACAACAAGTAGAATATGGGGAATGCTCCTATCTAGAGAGACTGTATGCATCTTAAGTAAAGACCGGTATGGTTGAGAATAACTCACCACTTCAAGGTGATAGAGGACAGCAGAAACCTCCTGCACTCTTTTGACAACTTTCATCGGAGCGTCAGCATCTTCAGCCTTCCCTGCCATCACCTTGTAGAGAGCCATCTGCCAGCGCATCGACGGGTTGTCCACCTTTCCCAAACAAAGGGATACAGAGCTTCCTGATATGTATTCTGCTTATGTATCACAAATGAGATTCCAACACTAAAGAGCTTACAGCACAGGAGCTATACCTTGCCCTGAAGATGAAGGTTGTTCTGCAGGAACTCTCTAACTTCTTCATCAGTGTCTCTCTGAAAAGTAAAACGTTTATCAACCATTGTCCTCCTAAAAAATGGTTTGGGAGGTAAAACTGTTAAAAAGTGGAATGGTTACTTTGCTAAGGCTACAACAGGGGTTAAAAGTCAGACAACAGAAGCTTACACTAATCAAGTTCATTTAAAGTAATATCAAACTACCAAGGAGTATCGGATCTTGGCCAAGTTGATAAGCTCCTGATCGGCGGGAGAGCACATGTTGAGGCCTATGGGGAGCATCTTTTTCAAGGCAGCCACAATAAGTGAAGTCTGCACTGAGTAACGGTCTCCACGTCTCTTCTTCTTGGTACGCTCCGTATCTGAGCCTCCACCCTGAGAAAAGGGACGATAACCAGAAAGCATTCACAGCATCTGATAAAATGCCAGAGGTATGAAACGACAGTTACCACTGCTTTGAATCGAAATACATTACACCATTGATTCAATGCCAGGCAGTCATTAAATGGATATAAGCCCTCTCCAGTTTAACCTAGAAACGACTGGAACACCACAAGAGAAAATATGCAGCTGATTCCATGTACAGTATATTACTGTACATCACATACAGTATGATGTATGACAATGACATTATTTTAAATCTATGACAAAGCTAGGTGATTGTTTTAACACAATGAACATCCTCCTACCTTTTAGTAATGACTATACAGTTCTGCAAGCTTCAATAGGAAAGTATGCAAACAGTAGATCTCCCCGCGTAGAAATACCCAGCTAAATTCACTTGGCTTTTAAAACATGTTACTGTCAATAGAAAAACGTTGTATTTGTAATTCCCCAAATATTTAAGTAGTTGTTTCTCTGAGCTCAGACTGGTAAGTAGAGGGTTTTGTGAAAATGTGTGGGCAACGTGGGAAAATAGCTGGCTTTGGGAAAGGGAATGGGTCTTATAAGAAACAAAATCAGTGAAATTACATTGAAACAACATGCAACAGAAAACAAGTGACACTCCATTCAGCATTCCATGAACATGATAAATATCTAAAACAAACTCCTGGGTTTTTCTTTAGTTGTGAAATTAAATGTTGTAACAACAGCAGCCCTTCTTCAAAGATTAAAATATTAGATGAAGTTACAGCACACAATTAGACAATTCTTGAAATTAGAGTTAGACCTATTAGTGTTCAGGCTGTTAATAACACACACGCTGTGCTCCTGAGCTCCTACTCTGTTTCTGTGACAGTTCAGTCCTTCTGTTATCTGCTCTTTCTGGAGTCCTCCGAGATGTGCAAATGAATGTGAGAGCATACAATGTATAAATGCATTTCCGTGAACAAGTCACATGGTATTTCTATTCGAGCCATAGAATTGTACGGGTCAAAACTCAGGTTTTAGGAATTAATTTCCCCCAATTCTCAATATCTCTAACAAAAAGGCAATATTTTAAATACACTATGAACCGTGTTTATATCTGACCAGTTCAAATGTATTATTACTTGGTATTTCTCATCAGCAACCACACAGAAAAGTGTAGATTGTAAAGTTACAGGAGAAATTAAGAGAAATTAAGAAGTAGCAACTGTATTAATGAGATATTGATACTCATATTGCTGCTAGAAAGAACTAAAAGCAGCTAATTATCCACAAAATCCCATGTTGGCTATTATGGTGTTGTTTATAGCGACTCGAGTATGTATTCCCTTAGCTAGCCGTGTATGAATAATGGCTAGAATGTAGTCCTTTGATGAATTGAAATCAAAATTCAGACTCATACATTAAGGTGAAAAGTGTACAGAAGAGCCCGGTTACAGGCTTTCTATCGGCAATATCTTAATTGGGGGTGTTTGTTGGGTTCTCGTTGTAAGACATGTCTTATCAAGTCAATCCCTGAGGCCCTATGCCCCCCTATCCAAGTTAAAACAAACACTATCAGTGCCAGATGTGCATCATCCACTGCTCCTGCTTTAATTCAGTGCCAGACACAAGTGTGTTATGGAAGCCTAGTTTAGAGGAAACAGGGTGCAAAGCATTTTGGGGAATAATATAGAAAAGAGTGAATTAATGTATTGGTTAGGTTCATGGTGATTTTGAGCACATTCTAAAGAGGGAACCCAAGAAATAGTTTCATGGAAAATCTGCTTCAGTGAAATTAAGCATCAAGTCATGTGTTAGTGTGGATACTAGGGAGTGTAAAAGGAAACTAAGCCATGATGTGCCATGGCATTTCCAGGGAGGAGAGAAGAAAGAGCACAGAGAAGACTAACATCATCCCCTAGTGGCAAAAAGCTGCATTACAGAAGCTACAGGTCAACTATCCTTCAACGAAAAAGAAACAAAAGACATACTAGAAGATTCCACCTCAACTAAGATCAGAAAAGAGCAAACTCAGTGACAGGATGATGGCACTGTGCTTTCACTGCCGCCTCGGGCTCGGTGTAAAGCCCAGTGCCATGAGCCCAAATCTACAGCTGAGTACTTTCATCAAGCGCCTCCAGACTCCCCCCCTCACACACTGGCAGGACTGGGGATGGCCCACAGATGGGGCCTGCCCATTTGTCCAGTGATCCGTTATGAGAATAATGTGTGATTCGTCCTATTGCACAATCATACATTTTTCTATAAAACAAATTGTATATGATATATCAAGCAGAGATAAATCAGTTGTGTGTGACATGGAGTGATCCATTCTAGGACTGTGTGTTGGTACACTGGGGTATAACAAAACTAATGACAGTGTAAGTGGATCCAAACTCCATCTGTTGCTCCTTTGAAGAGACTTCTAGCAAGGATTTTCATATTCTATTAATATGTATACCTTTGTATTTATAGCAATGACAAATTCTCAACTGTTACACTCTGAATAGACTGCAAGGTATTCATGACTAAGCAGATACCGCTGCGTGTACAGAAAAAGCATTTGAATTAGTTGTCCCAGATCATGTTTCCCTGGAGGGAATGTGGATATCTTTGTGTGTGTCTGAGTGACAGTGTACTTTTTGTGTTTGTGGATGCGCTATATGTGGATCAGATGTGCCAGTGTGCTGGAGAGGTTGATGAAAAGCTCCCCCAAAGTGAGGTGCCATGCGGTCAGCACAGCGGTCGTGCAGGAACAAAGTCTAACCTCTGAGTCCCCGCCCTGGAAACCCAGCCGCAACCCAAAAGAAGAGGACAAAGGACAGCCAAAGAGAGAATATTGTTAACACAACTGCTATTGTTCGAAAAAATGCGACTTAAAATCAACCTCCGTAAGTTGTAGGAGGCTTTGCTTTGTTAACCAAGTTCAATAAAAAGGATATTAAAGAATATAACAAAAAAAAAAACAGCAGGGTTATTAACCACCTGGTTAAGATGTCTGTGCCTTTCTTTTTAAGATGTATTTCTTTGATTATAGTCTGTGATACAATATTATTTTTTACAGCCATACTATGGGTTATAATAGCTTAATTAATGGCCATTACACCTGGCTGAAAATGGTTGTAACTAAATCTTGAAATTATGATAACAAGGGTAAAAAAAAAAACTACAGTTGTAAGGCAATATACCTGATTTAAGATCTGACACTATAGCAGCTTCACAGCAGCGCTGGTTCTGCCTTTCTTTAACTCACCATGCTCATTTTGCTCTTGCTGTCAGCGGTGAGGAATGACATGTTATTGATCTCATTCATCACCACGAAGTTCTGTTCCTCTCGTTTGAAGTTCTACAATGGAGAGAGAAATGGAAATAATACAGTAAAGGATGCACGTAGCAGCATATGGCTGAATTTAAAGGCAAGGGGACATACTGTACTCACATGAGATTTGGACCAGAAAATAAAGACCTCTCCAACCATTCGGAAGAGCTCCTCTGCATCTGGGTCTGGGCATGTCAGCCATCTTGCCCTGCAGAACAAATAACTTTAAGGCTCCCCAGAGGCGCAACAAGTGTGGCTTATGAAGAATGATTGAACGGATATGTGCATTGTGTTTTATTTCTGTCACTAGCAGGCAGGATTCACAGTTCAAAATGTGTGATATGTTCCTGATTGTAATGTACCTGTTGTTGTCCACGTAGCGAATAAGCAGAGGGTAGAGCGCATACAAGTCTCTGCAGAGGACAGCAAACTCATCACGTATAGTGCCGTCTTCCTCATCTCCCTCTGATTTCCCCTCCATCCGCAAATGGTCTTCCTCAGCCACCACCTTTGAAGTGCGTTTTTTCAGCTTCTCCATTGTAGGGATGAAGTGGGACTTGAGCATTTCTGGCTTTGCTCTGCTGACAATGGGCTGTGAAAACACTAAAAGAGAAAGAAAATGGCGTTATCTAACTTGCCCCAAAACTCACTCAGGCGTACACTGTGAGGTATACAGTGTTTCTACCTAATAGAGGATACAAAGAAACTCACCAGCCAACCTCTTCATCCAAGAGGCTTCATCAATACCCAAGTTGTTGACTACAATTTTCATGATGCTGCCAAGCAGCTGATTGAGATGTTCGGATGTGACATCTGTGCAGATCTGGCACTCCATATCAGGGAAGTTCTCCAGTCCTCTCTCCCACCAGCGAGGCAGGTAGTTACACAGCATGGGCAGAGTGATTTCAATCACATGAGGCATCTCTGTGTACCGGGCCCCTGACTCTGCCAGGTCCCCGATCTCCTTGAGTAGAGCGTCCAGCTCAGGAATGTCTGGACATAGCTCATGGACCTCATTAGGAAGGCCCAAGACTTTGGTATTCACAAACAGGAAGATACATTAATTCAATTCAGAAACAGGAAGATACATTAATTCAATTCAGAAACAGGAAGATACATTAATTCAACTCAGAAACAGGAACAACATTAATTCAATTCAGAAACAGGAAGATACATTAATTCAATTCAGAAACAAGACGTTGTCAGTAAATGCTGCTGAGGGAAGGGCAAAGCACTCACTGGCTCTCTCCCTCGGTGTCTTTGTGGTGTAAACAGAGAAAGCATTGAATTCATTTAGATTGGGCTCTAGGTAGGCCACTGGCATCGCTGCTGCAAGGTGAGCCAAACACTCCCCTAGAGCTGGCCTCTGCCTGTAAATGCAAACACGAGTGTTCAACGAAATTCTCCTGAGGATTCCTTCTAAATAACGTTACAGATTTCAATGTATGAAGATATGGAATTACCTCTCAACATGTGGATTCTTGACAGTCCCAAGAGAGTAGATGCTACACATGATTCGATAGCATGACATCTGAAGATCATCCACTGTATGATAGAAACAGAGACATGTAAAGCAAGGATACATAAATAAATAAACAGAGCAGAAATGTGCTCATGTGAAAGCACTCACGCATGACATCATCTCCAAACTGGTGCTGAGCGACGTGATCGAACAGGGAGGTGAGCACCGGCAGCAGGGCGATGGTTGTGTAGTTGATGTTCTGGGACACACCTTTCACTTGCTATAAAAGAGAATATATGAACATGGTCTTAGGATAGTTAAGGTATAATGATTAGAAACTAATTTGCAGAAGTTGGGGGTAGGACCATTTTGAAACATGTTGCTCTTCTATTACCTGATTGCCTTTGGATACTTTGCCCAGTTTGAGATTCTCTACCATCTTCTCTATGTCATCTGCAGCACTCTCAAAGAATGACCGCAGCCCCGCTTTCACAATCTCCGGCCCTGACTTCATTACTGTCCTAATAAGGCAAATAACAAAGAATATAATGAAAAACAAAAACACTTTTATCCTAATGGCTTTATGCATCTTGTGAGGAAATAAAAAAATACTAAACCTTGCATCCAATGACCGAGCCAGAATGTGAAGACAGTTAACAATAGCCGAAGCGTCCGTTCCTGCAAATACACATATGCTTGTTAACAAAACATTCAGATCATCACATACTGTCACGCCACTTGCTTTCATCTGAGTGATGGAAAAATACATTACAGCCACACATGAGAAACACAGAAAAGATTGAAAAGATTCAGAAAGATTGATGTTGAGAGACAAACATCTTACCAAAGAGAGAAACTCTGTGCCTCACCAGAGCGGACATTTTACAGAAGATACTATAAAGGGAAGGGAAGAAAAGGAAGGAAAGGGAAATACAAGAAAAAATAGATTTTTGAGGAAAGAGGGAAAGTTATATGAAAGGAAAAAAGGGCAAATCATGTTTAGGTGACATCTGCAGTATATCAAAGAGAGATCACCTCGCAATCATCTCCTTCTCCTTGTTGGAAGAATGTCCACCACTACCCAGAACTTTAGCAGGTGTCGACAAGAAGTAGAGGCAGTGGTTTTTGAAATATTGGTTGATTAGAGGCATCAAGATCTGAAAATAGGGAGTTTTCACACTTAGTACACAGATGAGGACAAGTTGGTCCTTAAAAACTGTGGCAACACGAGCTTTTCACAATACACTCACCTTGGCAAAGAATTTGATTTCCTGCTCATGAGGAGACTTTTCCACTCGTCCACTGCTTACCACAGCCTCTGTGAAACACATTTGCAAAATACGATACAATTGTATTAGTCTAACTATTGGGATACTATCAGATGTGACAGGATATGCTCTTCATTCATGCTCCACAGTACCAAGATGGGCGATGAACTCCTGGGCAATTTCCATCCATTTCAGCAGCTTCTGAAGGAAACCGTAAGCGAATCTCTTCTCGATGGATGAGATGTCAGACTCCATATCTTTCAGGCCCCTGAAGTGAAACACAGTTTAACGCTTTGTGCTTGAATTTAATGAAAGATTTCCCACATACAGTCAAAAATGTAGGATCATAAACAGAAGGATATACCGAAAACTTTGAATATCTTTTAATGATTTGTTGTTCTGTAAGTGTTTTTAAAATATAGTAAATAAAGCACTTTATAGAAAATATACTTTGGCAATTGTATGCTTTGAAACAGCTTCAAATGTGCACAGCTTCATCCATCCAGTCTTTCTGCTTTGTATCATCCACTTTTGACTGCTTTCACTTTCATCTGTATCAATACTCTAATTAAATGTATGTCATGTAAAGGGCCAGGTACTCTGGGTATTATCCGCTGTGGCCACACAATTAACATATTAAACAGAAAATATGTAATCAGAGTTAATCAATTAGAATAAACACAAAAATACAGTTCCCTGATAATTGTTCTTCTGCATTATTACCTTGTGCAAGCATAACCATTGAGCTGCAGGAACTTGAGCATTTCATACGCCTTCTCTCTGTCTCGTGCCTTTTCTTTGGCCGTGAGAGTGTCATAGGGCACCAGCAGAGGATGTGTCCCACCGCCTACAACAAACAGAGGCACAATCTAAACTCATCCAGAAAGCCAAATCTCTCAGTTTCTATACGTCTAGGTCCCCTTCTCCAGACAAATATATCTTACCTTTGGACTGTATTTCCAACTTTTTCTTACGCCCCCAGGTGTTGTGGTAGTTTTCTGCCAGTTGCTCTGCCATAGACTGTGAACAAATATAAACTATGAATAAGGATCAGAAACTAAGATAACAGCACAGAAGGTTCAATATTTACCTGTAGGTCTCTTGAAAGAGCCATGTGTGTGACCTCAATGGGCTGTGGACTGTAGCCCTGGCTTGGGTCATAGGTTGCCTACAACAAAAATACCTATCATTAAATACTGTACAATAAAAAACAATGGCTGAGATATTAGGTTTATAAGTACATGTATACAACTGCTTCATACCTGAGCTGTCTGGGAGATTTTTCGAGATACTGTCGTCTTCTTCTTATCAGACTCTTCGTCCTCTCTGGCTTTATCTAGGTTCCACTCCCACGCAAGCATGGCTTTGACCGACTCTTTGATTGGCCAACGGTAGATCTCTTTGTCCTGCCAGAAGAAAGAGTCAGTGTGATCATGACCAGGGACGCTTTATATGCGTTAACGCCGAACACGACTGTAAACCTACCTTTTCTGAGAAGGTTTTGTAGGGTCTGAGCATGGGATGAGTTTTTGCATTTTCCTCCAGCACCTCACCGTATGACCAGTTATTCTGGATCTAAAACATAGAAACAAGTTTAACATTGTGTTACAGCTTACAAATATAATGCATTCTTAGCTGTTGAAACTAAACACAAATGTTGATCCTGAAATAGCTGAAGAATAATAGGAAGTTGTTCTACCTTCTCAAAGGCCCATCTATCATGTGTATATTCAGCATATTTGTTGATAAAGGGATCCAGCCTTTCAGGGATGATGGTGCTGTGATTGGAGAGAGAATCAGTGAATTTAGCTTTAGCTCATTATGAGACATATCATTATTATTTGAGATGTCGATGTCTTAGGAGTTATAAAAGTCCTCTCACTTTGTGGTCTCTACTGGTTTAGGATCAAAGTTCCCCTCTGCATCGACTGATGCCTTTTTCTCCGTTTTGGAGGAGTAGCTGGCGTCCACATAGTCTGGAGGAATGGCTCCAGCAATGGCGCAAATGCACGGCATTGAAATCTTGAAAATCTCAGCATCAAATTTCTGAAATCAAAATGTAAATGAATGAATTAAAATATGCTCATACCATAATAAGTTGACCCCCCCACACACACCACAACACAGACTATATCACCCCCTTGCTGCTAAATACCAACAAACTATGTGCAATATGTGCAATATATAAATGCCGTTAATAACTGTGTAATATATATCTGGCTGCTAAATCCTTAGAACTGTTACAAGGTGTGTATTTTGTGTAACTTGCTGCTGTTAAATACCAACCACCTATGTGCAATATGTGCTAGATGTGCAATATATATAGATGCCGTTAATAACTGTGTAATATATACATGGCTGCTAAATCCTAAGAACTTTTACAGGATGTGTATTTTTTTAAATTATGTAACTTTTTATTATATTTTTTATTATATCATAACTTAGTACTTTTTTTTAAATGCATGTCACATATTTAACATATGTAACATTAAGCTGTCAGTGGCTCTTTTTCCTGCTGTAACTACACACATTTCCCCTCTGTGGGACTAAGAAAGGTATTCTGATTCTGATCAACTGAAAAAGAAACACTCATATAGCTGTTGCTTCACCTTGTGTGCTAGCGATTCAAAGATGCCCCAGAACAGTTTGCGGGTCAGATGCAGCTCCTCTTCTGATGCCAGTCCAAAGTTGGCCCAACCATTAGGGAGGCAATAATACTTCCAACAACGCTCATAGTGGTTGGTCAAAAGCTGCATGATGTAAACAAAAAGGGAAAGTAAACATTAATACAAGAAGAGTCGTGTTTTAATCGTTTTAACAGGTTTTAAAGTGCTCATACCTTCAGTGGCATTTTGGCGTACTCATTGAGAATGGGCACATCAAACACCAGCCGTCTCAGCAGGTGCTGAAGCATGGATGGACGTAGATGTCTGACGAAAAGAAAAACACATTCAATATAACCTTGGATATGTTTGATTACAAAACAACATTTGCCAGGAGGTTGAACTCACTTGCACAGAGCCATGAGGCACTCTTCAATGATGTCTCTTTGCGCCTTTGTGAAGGCTCGACCACGAGACAGCCGGTAGATCGTGTGCAACATGGAGTCGATCATTATGGCTCTGTGGTCACTGCCAGCGAAGAGCGGTGCACACTTAGTGATGAGTGGCAACACAGCAGAACACAGGTAGCGGTTCAAAGCCAGGGCCATCTCTGTGGTGCAGAAAGCAGCCTGATGGACAGAAATTGGTGAATTAAGTCCGACAGTAATATGAATATTCTTCTTCCCAAAGCCCATATACGTATGTTTGTAAATGTTGTGATGCTCACCGTGTCCAGAGAGGCAGCAGCCCTCATGTCAGGCAGAAAGCCCACCTCCAGCACATGGAGCAGGAAATCCTGGTTGTCAATACCGTACACTCTGTCCAGGAACAGAACCATGGGAGCCTTGTGATCCGGCACGAAGCTGGCTGACATCTTTGGTTCAATGATGCTGTTGTCTAAGCACGACACAAAAAAAACATTTAAGATAAATCATTGTGAATGTGAAAAGTCGGATAGAAGAGATCCAATGTTCAAATGTAACAATTGAAATGTATAAATGTCAAATGTTTTCCCAAGTGTTTACCTTTTCCAAACGAAGGAATCTGAACAGAAAGGCTGATGACTCCCACCAGATCCTCAATAGGGACCAGAGACCTCAGAATGGCCCTGATCCTCAGAGCCTCACCCTTACCAGCCTGGATCAACTGCAGAGACACAAATAAACATTTGAATCTAGTTGCCCTATCCCTGCATCTTCCTTCCTTTCTTCAACCATTTTGAAAACCCCAGTGTTCTCTTACATGCATCTCTGGAGCACAGCGTCCCAGCAGATCAATAAGGGCAGAGTAGAAGGACATGATGGCATTTCCTAGGTGCACCTTGTTCTCCTCCTGCTGCTCCTCTCCTCCAAACCTACCAGAAAAAAAAAAACATTGTGGCTCTTTATCAAACGCCGGGGGGAGGTAATGCACACTTTGGCACCTCGTTAAATACGATCAGAAGGCCGTTAAGCCAAAGCTAATAACTCTTACATGGGAAAGCGTCTATCCTTCTTAACACTAGGGCCATCCCTTGCAGGGTCCTCAGATATTTTGATGGCTTCCTCAATCGCAGCCAGCAGACCATTACCACCCTCGCCTCTCAGAGCTGGACCGAAGCACTCAGGCCTGCGAATGAGGAGACGTACCACCACGTTGGCATTCTCTTCTACGCTCTCTCCTGTAGAGGGAAGAACAACGTACTAACTGTTATAAAGGGAGAAAAAATATGTATTTATTTGAAATCAGGGCAATAGAAATTGGAATATTGCATCATTTAGCCATTTAAAAAAATATCCGACCGTTGACAAAAACAGCAAAACGAAGAAAGTCGAGGTATTTCTCTCCACCACAAGGGTTCCAGCCAATGTCAGGGTAGCCTTTAGACAGCAGCATTGGACAGCTCTGAAGTCCACATCCTGCTAAATATTTCACCACCTGGAAATATAACAGTGTATTTAAGCATTGACGAAGTTTGAACAATGCTTGTTTGGTACGTGTTGACGGTTTTTACCATTTCTAGGTCTTGCTCTTGGAGAGCCAATGCTAGCTCGTTGTTGTCGATACAAGAGGCTGCAGCCACGTCCAAGGGGGTGGAGCCTCGCATTCCTAAAGAACAGCAGAAAATGTCCAGCTTAATGACAGCTCACACTTCAAGAGCATCAATAATAAAGCCGATAAAGACAATCACCAAGGCCGATGCCACTGTTCTGTAGAAGGTAGCTGAGGTGGTCGAACATAGAGCGCTGATTTTGACGACTGATGCGACAGAAGTAGCAGAGAAAGCGGCAGCAGTTCGTCACCACTCGAGGGAATCTGATCTCCTGTTGGAGGAAGAATGTTATACATGTAAGGTTAAGTAGCGTAACATCTATCTATCTCATTGTATCACTTTGTGGGAATACTAAGCAAAGTGTTTCTGTGTATTGAGGATATTTAAAACGAAGTTAAGCAGATGAAAAAACATACCTTGGAGTCCCCGCCGCCAAGGACATTAACCATGACCTCCATGACAGTCTCATGCATGCCCAGAGCTCGCATCAAGTTGGGGTGTTGATAGAAAACTTTGTTACTCATGATGTTTCTAAGGAAGACAAACTTTAAGTTCAGTTTCTGTCACATGTAGTTATCTAGGAATTCACTTTAAGGCAAGATATTCAGAAATAATTAAGATGTTATAATGACCCGATGCTTTGAATCATTAGCCTCTCCTCTTCGGGACCCATCTGGACAATAAGCAGTGAGCGGATCTGGCCCAAGCACTCTAGCAGGTCCATGGTGTCGTGAATTGACACGCCGTTGATGGTGTAGGCTTTGGGAAGGGCACGCATGAGCTCACCCAGCCCATCATACTGTCTGTGGAGAAGGCTAAACATCATGCGCACGAGCTCTGGGTTCTGGATGAAAGCCTCCTGGGCCCAATGGATCATTGTATGAGAAATCAGCTCCTGCAATGTGCCTGGGATACAAAGAACATAGAGTTAAGCGTTCATACTGAAGACACCATATTTAAAGTGACTGTGGAAACGTAAGGCAAGGCAAGGCACGTTTATTTATATAGCCCCTTTCAACACAAGGCAATTCAAAGTGCTTTAGAAAGAAAGTGTCACTTTACAAAAGGAATATTTCTAATATCTCCAGAGAAACCGTGACACAATGCAGTCTTATTCCAGATGTATGTGACATGTAGAAGAAGAGAGACTCACTTGGTTTTTTATCTTCCTGCGGCTCAGGCTCCACCTCCACTTTCTTCTCACGGACTTTTTTCACCTTTGCCAACAAACGGACCAGTCGGCCACGGACGGAATTATCCACCTCTTCCTCCTCTTCTTGTTCTTCAATATGAACACCTGCAAGGGAAGTTTTAAATCAGATAGTGTAACTTCCATTCAAACGCTCCATCTGCAGTGTTTACTTAAGATGCAGATGTTGGTAGACTTGATTATACTGTATGGATAAACACTGACCACAGTGAGCCAGCAGGAAATTGTGGAAAATCAGCAGAGCATCGCGGACTTCATCAGGAACGGGGCACTGATCGTCCTCAGAACAGTTCTTAAAGTTCATGAGCATATTGACCTAGACACACAGCAAAAAAACAATTCCATTGTTATGGTGCTTTTCTCAAAAGATTTGCTCTTTGGAGAATTTCTCGGGTAAGTTCTCTTCCAGCGAGGACATTTTTAAACCAGCTGCACTGAAAAGTTATCAGTTTGACATAATTTCATCCGCATTTGCCAGGTTTTCTAACATAATGAAATGAAATACATCAAAGACCAGAGAATGTAAGTCAGAAAGCAAAGGTAGATTCCAAGTTAATTTACTAACTGTGTTATAAGGATGGAGATTTTCCTTAACTGAACAAATCCTAATAAAATGAAAGATTTAATAAATGTACTTTCTCGGTATGCCTGTGTGTGTGTGTGTGTGTGTGTGTGTGTGTGTGTGTGTGTGTGTGTGTGTGTGTGTGTGTGTGTGTACCTGCTCCTGTGGCGGGGAGCGGAACTCCCGGGTCTTGCGGGCGGTCTCGGCTGCGCTCATGGTGAAGGCCAGCATCAGCTCGTTGTAGCGGTGCCTCTGGTTGGACTGTATCTGGCTGACAAACTGGTCTGAAAACGCAGTGATGGCCTCCACTCTGTGACGTAGCTCGCAGTCACAGAAATACTGCAGCAGAGTACACATCTGAAGGAAATAAATGAACACGTGGGTTTGCTATCCTGGCTCCAAAATGGTGGAATGAGCTCCCTATTGAAATCAGGACAGCAGAAAGCTAACACAACTTCCTCAAAAGCCTCAGCTAAATGCAATGTAATGTAATAATGTAAAAAAGGTGAATCAGTTACACAGTATCACTGGGAGGANCTAAGGGGTGGCATGAGACGTCACGAACACTGGATGTGGACCCCAATATGGGCTTTCGAGTCCAAGCCTCTATTAATTGCGATGTTAAACCCATGTTATTCCCACGTGGCGCTGAGCAAAACATAATGAACGAAAAAACAAAATCAACCAAAGGGGAACTGAAAGGCCGCAGGTCTCTTGCAGCACGGGTGGATTTGCATGGTACACCACACATGTTGTTTTTGAGGGTTAGGCGTGCACCCAATTTAAAGGGGGAAGGGGAGGAGATCTTTGTCAAAGGGCCAAAAAACACACCCCGCTCAGGCGCTGCCCGACAAACAAAAACTCCTTAGGCCCAGGAAGCTGACCAACTGGTGCATCAGTCAGGGCCACCAGGTGGACAAACACCCACCCACTCTCCCGTGTTCCTGACGAAGCTCCCCAACCTCCTCCCAAAAACTCAAAAAGGCTGGACAGGCCTCGGAGACGGTTCTCGCATTTCACCATGGAAACGCGGGGGGACTCGCTTCTTTTTATAAATCCCCGAGCCGCAGCCCTCAGCATGAAAATGTAAAGAGTGTGATAAAGGAAGACCATGCCAGAAAGGAGGAAGTTTTCGGAGACCTTCTTCATTAGGGGAAAAACGAAGAGAAAAGCAGGGAAGAAGAAAGGGGGTTCACGTTGAAGGAGGAAAGAGAAGAGGAAACTGAAAGAAAGAAAGAAATACAAAAACCAAGTGTAGAAATTCCAGAGGAGGTAAGCTCCAAAAGTTTGTTGCTTTTAAGTAGGTTCAAAATGGACAATGCTGATGTTGGTAGCCTAGGTTTAGGCGTTCTTAGGATAAAACTAAAGCTAAACATTGCTTTTTTTCTGGTAATTTTTCAAACTGGGGGGGGACATAAACCCACTTTTGACACCAATGGTGGGGTAGGGAGGGATTTTACTAACCAAAATTTCGTTTCGTGGGGACAATTTCTGTTTCCAAAGTTTAAATGGGGCAATTCCAAGGTCAAATTATATTTTAAGGATATTTCATGAAACCGTAAAGGGTTATTTCCAATCGTTCTACAACAAAAACTCCATTTTTCCGTTATGTTGGGTCTTTGGGTCTTCAAAAAATGCATACACAGGCGCCGAAATAAAACATAGGGTAGGAGGAGAGAAGAGGACCAAAGGTCACGATGGGAAGGACTGAGATGAGGGAAGAAACATAAGGAAGGATGAAGGGGGAACGAGAACAAAATTAAAATCAAACCGGGAGACAAACACAGAGGAGGAGAGAAAAATCAGAGTATGAAAACATCAGGGAGTGATGATGACGAGATGAAGAACAACAAGCGGAAGGAAAGATGATGAAGAAACCTAATGAAATGTCCTATGCAGAAGCCACTTCCTTTATACCAGTGACCCGTCAACTGGCGGCCGGCCACAGTACAACGGCCCAATCCCAAACCGACGCCCTCATCCTACCCTACACCCTACCATCGCCACATTAAGTGCTGTTCCAAACCAACGAGTGTGGAGCGGTGTGTGAGGGGTGGGTTTCAAGCCATCAAACCGCAAGTCGCATCGGTGCTGACTGGAGACCGGTTCTCTACCTGAGCACGGTCTCAACCGCTGTGTGTGTCCGTCAGGAAACAAGCTGTTAACCAATTAGTTCCTGCAAACAGCAGTAGCCCCCGGCTGCGACAGACAGAGTCACCGAGAGCAAGGAGCTGCGGGACAGTCTAGCCTAGAAGTGGCTCCAGCGAAAAGCGTCCATTGGATACATTTTGGCTCTTGGACAGACAATGTAGTTGGTGATCCCTGCTTTATATTCTCCAGCATCCAGCGCATTTGCTCATAAAGTCACATCATCCCCAAAGTGGTCCTTTTCTGCTGCACTCTTGCACTTGCTGACCAGTCACATCACTGAAAATGACTATCCCGTGTGGGGTGAACAGCTCATCTTGTACTCTGATCATCAGAGTTCCAAATCTATCAAATATTCTGTTCTTGGTATCTCTTTGAATTATTCGTGTGTATCAGTCTCATAATGAACGCCGGAGACCGGAGGCAGTGTATCAAAAAGATCTTTGAGAACACAGCGAGAGTTCGCGTTTGTGCAGGGGATCCTTTGGAGCAGAAGAGCCACTCACCTTTAGTGGTTTCGTCTTCAATGCTGCTTGGAGAGAGTGAGTCTTTAAAAGGTGCAGAGGAACAGAACCACTTTGTCCGTTCTGCGTTCGCTGATGGGGCCACTTGCATTAGAACCAAACCGGACTTCCGCAGAGAACATTAGAAATTTCAATCCTAATTATGCTCGAAATAGTGCAAGACAGCCAAACAGCTCGCTGCACCCGCACTGCAAGGGGGACCCAAGTTCCCATCAGCAAAAACACGTGGGTTTGCTATCCTGGCTCCAAAATGGTGGAATGAGCTCCCTATTGAAATCAGGACAGCAGAAAGCTTACACATCTTCCGGCGCAGACTGAAAACTCATCTCTTTAGACTCCACTTCGAGCGATAGAATTACTAACAAAGCACTTATATACTAATAAAGGACTGGCTTATCTAAAGCCAGTTGAGTAGCACTTGAAATGTTTGGCTCTATGAAACCTGATGTACTTATATGATTCTGTTTTCTTCAAGTTTGTATCTTCCTGGTCGAATGCACTTATTGTAAGTCGCTTTGGATAAAAGCCTCAGCTAAATGCAATGTAATGTAATAATGTAAAAAAGGTGAATCAGTTACACAGTATCACTGGGAGGAACCAAGTTTTTGTATCTTTTAAAAAGTCCTACCTGCAACTTGACAGACTCTGGTAGCTTCATCTGAAAGAGTCCCTGCTCCAGCTGTTCTTCTTTGTTCTCCTCTTTGATTTCTTTCTCTGTTTCCTCAGCGCCTTTCTCACCATTTACTGGCGCAGTCTCCACTTGCATTTCTCCGTGTGGCACGACAGCTTTCTCTAATTCTTCCTCCATTTCTTCCTCCTCTTCACCCAAGCCATCATCTTCATATTCCTCTTCTTCTTCTTCTTCCTCTTCACCCATGGCTTCATGCTCCTCTTTCTTTACCGCTCCTACTTCTGGGGCTGCTTTTTGTTCCTTTTCTTCCTTCGATTTGTCAATCTCCTCAGCAGGCTCCTCTGCTTTCTTACCGCTGAACACTACGGGCTCAAGCATCTTCAGGATGTGTGTGACATCTCCATCGTCAAACACACCCATGATGAGGAGGGTACTGATGAGCTTCAGGATTGGAACAAAATGAAACTCAACACTACCGCCCACAGGGTCTCTCATGGCTTGACCTCCATCTTGCACGGCCTCAGTCAGCATTTGTAAGGCTTTGGTCTTTAGCATCTGGAAGTATAAGCAAACTTGTCAATACTGCTGGCCAGGTTTACATCAAAGAATGCTTGATATCATCCACAATCGTTAAGCAATTATCAAGGTGACCAGTAAGGGAGGCCATTTTTTCACTCGGACAACATTGCAGGAGACAGAGGCTACAAAAAGATTACATTATGAAAAAAATGCAGTACTGTAGATACAAATGCAAGTACTGCATCAACAGTTTCTTTAGGGGCCCTATTGTGCTCATTTTCAGGTCATATTTGTATTTTGGGCCACTACTGTGACATGTTTGGCTCTGCTGTGATGTCCCGCCCCTTAGCCAATCACGTACAATGTGTTGGAGCGATAGTCAATACAGTAGAAGCACAAGTGTTATATGTCACTACATGTATGTTATGGAAATAAACAAAGGAATCCAATGGAGGCTTTTCAGGCTGTGTGGGAGAGAAACTCCCTCTGGACCGAACTCTAAGATTTTAGCCTTTGTAGACCTTACATTGTCATAAACCTATATTACACACTACAGGAAAGGGAAAACCCCCAAAAGGGGCCCCTTTAAGTGCTGAATGTGTTCAAACTCACCTGTAAGGGGATGCTTGGGCTCAGTGTGTAGATGTTTTGATCCGTTCCAACAAACCCGACAGAAGAAAAATGCAGTTTTGGGCGCAGACATGTCGTGAGTCCGACCCCAGGTAAAGCGTCAGATTTGTCCGAGTACAGTGTGATACTGCGTGTTTGGTCTGTCATGGGAACGATGAACTCCTTGTTGGTTCCCAGCCGGTTCCTCTTGGCAGACTCCAGGTGCATGCTGATGAGCAGGTCGTAGAAGCCGCTCCTCATCGGTCCGGGCAGGTAGGTGTTCTCGATGGCGTAGAAGAGCTGGGACTCGTCCACGTGGCTGCACAGAGCGTGAGCCACACGGTTGTTTCCCAAAGCACACACCAAGCCGTACAGCTTCAGAGTGTGATAGTGGAACTTCAGCAGGTCCATACGTTCAGAAAGCTCCAGGATATCGATACACCTAGAGGAATTTAAGAGGTTCATTTTGCTGACATTTGCTTTTACCACTCCTTACAATAAATGCATAGTCATAGTTTAACATGTGTGTGAGTGGTTACTGTATGTTTGATAAATGTGTTCAACATTTTAAATTGTACGCTCTATTGCTGCTGTCTTGGCAAGGGCTCCCTTTGAAAAAATATATATTTTAGCTGGGTCAATTAGTCAAAAAAAGGTTAACCCAAAGATTTTTTTTAAAGAGGGACACAATTCTGACCTGTTCTCCTCTGGGATGTGTAGGGCCATCATGGTGAGGGGCTCCTGACACTGCACCACCCAGCCCAGTCTCTCACTAAGACGCCCTGTCTCTGGAGCCAGGAAGTTGTTGGGCATGCGGCTCCAGATGACGGGGGTCAACATCTGGACGTCCAGTCGAGGAGGGCACTGGGGGACGGGGTTCTTGCGTTCACTACGGAACATGGCGGCTGAGATCGGCATGATGTTCTAGCAAGATAAGAAAAGGGAGACAAATGATGTATTAGAGAAGAAGACAGATACATAACAGATGTAACTGTAGCCTTGATTTTGCAGATTGGCGCTGGCTGAGTGGAGTGAGTCCTTGTGACTGACCTTGAGCTTGCCTAGTTCGAACTGAATCATATTCTGACAGGAAGGAAGAACAAAGACAGCCGGGAACAGTTTTGTGTGTGGCTCCACCTGCAAGAAAGGAACATAACATGGTTGCATTACATTATTAAGTTAAGACTTTGTAAAGGCTCTGTTTTAATACTTTGTTGAAGCTTTTCTGACCTGGTAAAAAGTGTTGATCTCTTTTCCATTGGCAGTGAAAGTCATGAGTCCTGTGTCCAAATCAACCAGACAGCCAATCATAAAATCCTCTTGACTGACTCGGGTTTGCTGGGAGCTGCTGAACTCCCCTCCCCACACCATGTAGCAGTTACTGCGTTTTATACTGAGGAAGACACAAAATACAATCATGCATTTTGTCATTTTAAAAAGGTGCATAGTGTATTCCCTGCTCACACACTCCAAAGGCGTATCATTTCCCCTCTACTTCTTGGTCCAAACAAATGATATTAAAGTTATCAAGACTGAAGGGAGGGTGCAATATTCGAGCAAACTACAGAAATTATGAGACAATGCTTTCTTATAATCTACACGCAGTGCGTTAGCCATCTGATAAAAAACTATTTTTTTGGTAGTTCAGTTTTTTCTGTTTTAAACTGAAATTCTGGCCACCTTTAAAGATTCCATGACATGGCCATTTCTACTGATCATAATTCCATTGTTGAGGTATAATAGAATAGATTTACATTGCGCAACTCACATTGGTTTCTCATACAGCATCTCTGTATAGTATGTGTATTCACTCTGTCCTAAACGGCATGTTGGAGCTCCTGCACCCCCCCCCCTCGAGTCCACCACCGTTACAGCGGAACATCAGTGATTATGTGTTACAATGGCGTTTGTTAGCAACCAGAAAATGACACCAGTAATGACAAACAGATGAGAATGCTGCGTGGGGTCGCTGCTGCGAGGAGCGGACAGTGTGAGCTGGCTTACTGATGTGGTTTCCTAGTTGCTGCGTGGTCGGCGAGACACAGCGAAACCCAGCCCGAAACCAGCCCGAGCACGCACACACCGCCGTAACCAGGTCAGAAAGGAGTCGACGTAGAGGCGCTAAAGAGTCGGACTCTGTGCCTGCGCGCTCCGACACTCAGACACACACACTCGTGTGTGTGTCTGAGTGTCGGTCCACACACAACACACACACACACACACACACACACACACACACACACACACACACACACACCACACACACACACACACACACCACCACACAACACACACAACACACACACACACACACACACACACACACACAAACACACACACACACACACACACACACACACACACAACACACACACACCACACACCACACACACACACACACACACACACCA